GAATATGCCAATTTTCCTAATTTTTCTTATATGATAGGCTCCTATGAAATTACTTACGAGTTTAGTTTTCAATTACCAGTCTTCAGCATTGTTCACTGACAATTTGAATACCAAAAATGTCAAAAATTAATACCCCTGCATTCATTTCAGGTAAATTGAATTAATTATTAACAGAAATAAAAAGGTGTTACATAAGGAAGTAAAACTATCTGTTCATCTTTTCATTTAATGTAAATTTGCTGTAGAAAGAGGGTCTAAGTTCTTTTCTTATAAGCTCCAGTTGAATCTGATGTTATAATAACAGTGATCTATAGTTAGCAAATCGCTCCAACACGTTTTGTTATTCTAACCAATATATAACAGTAGTTGAAATTCCCTCACAGGTAAGATAGTTCTTGTAACAAGAGACGTTTTACGCTCTTAGAACAGATATTGTTCTTTGTGCAATCTGTCGTCGCATAACTCAAGTTCGATCCCGTCGGATTGATACCAATTATATTTCATATTTACATAAGAAATCACAAGGAATTAGCGACTAATATTTTGGAATGTGTTTACTGTATATAATAATAGCAATTTTAAATGTATGTGTAAGTTTTAAACATATATCATGTATGTATATAATTAAATTTTAGTAATAATTTTATTTTGGTCGAGCTTTGACGTCATGTTATAGTAAACTATGAGGACATGAGGAGATCAGGCTAAGATAAAAGCAAAACAATAAGAAGAGGTTATTGAAAAACTTTAAACAATTTTGTACGAAGTTTAGTGTAAGCGATGTAATAACTTTTAATAATATTTTGTTATTGTTTACGAAACTGATCTGAGATATCAAAAAAACGTAAAATTTTATTGAGCAATAGATTAATAAAATTATAATATAATAATATTGTCTTTTCTTAAGATGCTAAATTGTGCAGCGCCATGGACATGTTACTATTAAAAAATACATTTTCAACAATAATATATTATTTATGTACATTTATAATGACTTAAAAAAATTATTTATATAATCTTCTGACACAGCAAATTTTTTAAAATAGCAAAGTTATTTTTGACGAAAGCCCACGTATAGAATATTCAAGGGTTATTAAATTATTTTTAATCATATTTTCATATATAAACTATGCGTCTCTCTTAAATATTTAAAACAACTTTATTTATATTTCTTATGTAATTTGGCTGTATATTTTGTTACAAATAAATCTTTTTATTATAGCCTCGAAGGCTTCGATAAGCGGCCTATTAACATGATTATGAACACGTAGGACCAATAACAAATACTAATACAAAAAATGTTGCCTACAAAGGGTTTATAACTTAATGAATCTGGTAACTAAAGGGGCGTCATTTATTCCTTTCTTATTAATAACTGAAATCTAGTCAAAGAATTTATCAAATACATCGAAATATATACACAGATACATTTCAGAACTTATGAAGAATGTTATTTGACTTGTATTTCCTTTTACTCCTTACAATAGGTACTAAAACATTAGTAATAAAGCGGTATTAAAGATATTTAATATCTTCAAAGAGTTTTAATTATCCTACGATGCTGCAAATATTTCTCAAAGACTATTTCTAAATAACAGTCAATCGTGGTAATTTCATTTTGTCAAGCTGGAAGTTCTTCTAGTTGTAGAACTATTTATAAGTCAACTAATTGAATTAGTGCTCCTTGTGCGGTTTCTGGGAAATTAGTATTTTATGCAGTCATTCAACATTTAATAAGCAATAAAATTTATATTAAAATGTGATATAAACTATTGCCTTTACAATAATATGAAAATTAACCATATTTCTTTGAAATAAAATGGACAAGTGTTATTAATTGGTAGATAAATTTATCCAAAATCATTGTGGAATATATTCACATTTAACATGATGCAAGTTTTAATCAAAACGTTATAGTGTAAATAAAAAAGACATTTTATGTGTAAAACAAAATAAAAAAATATGATTTGGTACAAAAATAAGATAAAATATATTTTACTCCGATGGGTCACGAAGCAGTCAGTATAGTATATCAACATATATATATGTAAATATGCATTGTTCATTCGTTCAAATAACTCTCGGAAATAAAATCAATCTAATTTAAGTGTTTTAAGATTTCCAAAGACTTTGAAAAGGACAATTGCCATCTCGTTACAAACGATACAGCTACCGGTACTTACCTACTGTTGTTGTGAACTAATAACCACTTCGTTTACAGAATAACTCTCAAATCACAAAACAAATTAAGCTTTAACACCTTTGGCTTACTCTAACTTGTAGTTCTAACTTCGGGAATAATCATATTTAAAACAGATTAAATTTTATATTTTTATTGCAATATATACTACGATAATCTTTATATAAAAAAGAAACTCGTGTTAGTTACAATATTATAACTCAAGAACGGCTATACGGGTTTGGCTGAAAGTTGGTGGTGAAGTAGCTTAGAACAAGGGAAAGGATATACGGTACTTTTCTTCAGATTGAGAAAGAAAAAATTAATCAAATCCAAAATCTTATTATTATCTACTGTTTTGAAGAAGGAATACAGTTCGACCGGTCAGATATACTTTTCGTATTCTGAAAATATAGCAGACGAAGTCACGGACCAAAACTAGTTAATTAAAAATATAATGGAACGTCAAAATAAAACGGCGGTGTTGTATAGTAAGAGTATAATTAGAAATTATTTTCCTTAAACTTTTCCTGTTTACGAAAATAACTAACTAAATTAATTCACCAAGTAATTTATTGGTGTTTTTAACAACAAATATCATTACAACTAATCGTCACGTTATTTTGTTCACAATTTTAAAGGTCCTCGGAGACACAAAGTATGCTAATAATACTCGTAGCAACTGCTGATGTTGACGACGCCTATATGATTTGGTAATATATGTCCCTTGGGTAAACTCTGACTACTTAGCATCTGGTACCCCGACATCGATGTCACGTTTAAACGGCATTGGCTCTCTCAGAATGCCTCTCAGCAGTCTTCTGGAATATCAATGACTTAGAGAGGGAGGCCAGTCTTCTGTTACTCCTCAATGACAACCATTGCTACTACTAAATGATGAGCAAGCTCTCAAAGAGCGATGTCACTGTGATGTCTTCTAAAGTTCTATACACATGAAATTCAGAATCTCAAATACGGCGTTGATTTTATTGACAATACCTCGTCCCTGTAGCAAACTCACGTTTGGAGTACTAGCGTGAATATTCGGTTTTTTGATTTGAAATTATGGGTGCTGCGTTAACAGAACTTAAATTACAGGATCTAGTGGAATAGAATCCCAGGTTCACAAGTCTTTATACGTAATATGAAATGCCTTATATAGTTATAAGTTTTTATAACCAAAACCCTTATCTTAATTTCTTAAGTAACGATAATTTAGTTATTTTCTTTATCACAATTTTGAACATGTTTTGTCAGTAATTTAATTAATATTTTTTCCATTTCCTTTCCTTCCTTCTGTAATTATGCCAGTAAACCCAGGGCTCATTAAATATTTATGAAGAAAGTTATTTAATTTTGCAGTTACTTCAATTAAACGCAGTATAAGTCAAACAAAAGGTTTTTGTTTAAAGCGAACCGCACATTGCACACGCTCCGTTTAGTAGGAAGTGGGCTCCGCTCTTATCCATATTCATGATATTTAGTTACTTTAAACTAGTACTTTTGAATAAATTCACTTTTAACTAATGCAGACACCAAGAGGAAATTATGCATACACTATTTAAATGATTTAAATTCTTAAAATTACACAGCCAGCCAAATGTTTGTGTAGTATAACAGGGATATAAGGTATTTCCAAAGATATGTTCGATATTTTTGAATTGATTTACAGATAATTTAAAACTCCACAACACAATATTACAACACGCTTAATAACAGAATTTATAACAAAATATTTATACAAGAATTCTTTTTCAATTACAGGAAATAGTATTAAGGACTCTGTTGAGTCTCATTATTTACAACCACCATCTTATTTTCTTATCATTTCTTACATATCTTTGGATGACAAGCGGGAGAGGAAAGATAAACCACTATATGAAGTGTCAACTTCCTACGAGCAGAATTCTGAATATAGATTACAAAACTATTTTTTCCTTATACATAGTATAGAATACAGTAAATATAGTACTAGTACATTGTTTTAGTTTATTTAATTTTAACAAAATCATTAAAAAAAATCACGTTGAACCCTGAATACAGTAATACAGATTTTAAGAATAGATAACTTTCTTTTATTATACAAGTCAAATATTTCTCAACACATAATTGTGCTTACCTTCTACTTTATGCCCTTAAGTAAAGTCCCCCATACTTACATTATTCTTACACCTGACTTCACTGAGTACCGATAAATTTATATATACAACAATCCTGTGGAAAATAAATCCTTAAGTCAGAATTGATGTAAGAGTATGGTCTCTTCGTGTGTTCAATTATTCGGTTAATGGAAGTAGCTCTTTGAAAATATTTAACCTTTTCATATTTTTATCATTCGATCTTCTTAAAGGTGAGATATAATTCACAATAACGAGCCAGAAAGTGATTTGAAAAAGATTTTCTGTATACAAAATGTTGCATTAATATTTCTCAAGAATCACAACGAATTTCTAACATAAATAAATATACTTGTAACATAACATAAATAAATGTACTTATGTTATAGGCTTCTTCCGCGTTTTAACGGTGAACTACAACAAAATTTTCGTAAGATCGAAGTGTAGATACTAATAAAATCAAAAAGACAAATAAAATAATCATCTAAACACCGAAAACATAATTTTTTTAAAAGTAATCAATATAAAAAATAGAAGATTGGAAAACGAAAAAAATATTTGATTTTAAATTAGATCATAAGCAAAACAATGTCATTGATAAGTGAGTAGGTCAACGAAGAAGATTTTGTAATGACCGCTTGAGATACTCAGTTAGTTTTCCATTATTTTAGTTTTGGTCCATCACTTCTAGCGGTCAAACAACAATGGCGTCTATGACAATACAAAACCTCAGCCCGAATATACTTCAAATGGAATATGCCATTCAAGGACCAGTGGTTTCAAGAGCTGGTGAAATTGAAGAAGAGTTGAAAAAGGTAACGTGATTTTCTTTCTTATTTTTACTCTAAATGTACTTATATATCGTTAGTCCAATTGACTCTTTTAGAATTATTCACTCTAAATACATATATTGTATGAATTTAGTCAAGGTCGGAGTTTTTTGAGTCATGTCTTCGTTTTTATTTTCTAGGGAGTGAAGAAGCCGTTCAAAAATGTTATTAGGGCTAACATCGGGGACGCACAAGCCATGGGTCAACCACCGATAACATTCATAAGACAGGTGAGAGGGGAAAACATGCCTCGAAATATGTTTATATAAATGATTAATATAAATTAAACAATACTATTATGAAACATATCTGTATTGTTCAATATGCGCATTATGTAATATATCTTGTGATCACTTATCGTTGCAGATGATAGCTTGCATAGCATACCCCAAGCTTATAGAAGAAGGAAATTTCCCCGAAGATGTTAAAAAACGGGCGAAAGAATTCCTAGAAGGATGCAGGTACAATCAAATGTGTTAACATTTTATGTATTACTAACTTATAATTTGTTTTTTTATCGTTGTTATTACGCTGGCTTTTCCCGTATTAAAAGTGAATCCCCGAAACAATTAACCTTTAGCTGGTTCAATTAATTTTCAAGGGTCAATATGATATGCCGTTATATTAGAGCTACTGCTGGAACAGCCACTTATATAAATAATTATTTATGTGCATCGCGACCTCGCTATATAGTGTTTTGCTGACTGCAACCTGTAATTATTTAAAGTTTATGAAATTTTATTTGCGTTTTGTCGAAGATTTAATCGAATCTTCGTTGTTGTATGAAAATTACTACCGTACTGTATTTAATAAGATTTTTTTAAATTAATCAAATTGTTAAATTCTGTGCTAGCGTTTGATATTTGTTATAATGAAACAATCCTCTCATAAGCATGAGCAGTACCGTTTCTAACATTCTTCACTTTTTTGAATAGAGATGGTTGAAGTCTATTCAAAAAGATATTCTCTTGTAGTACCTTAAAATATGTTTTATAAGAAAGTTATTTCTACAGCGGGGGTACTATTGGTTCTTACTCTATACCACATGGTTTGGGTCACATTCGTCGTCGTGTCGCCGAGTACATCGAGCTACGTGACGGTGTACCAGCTGATTGGAAAAACGTTTACCTCTCAGCCGGGGCTACCGTCGCCATACAATACTGCTTACAGTTATTTAGCGATCGAAGTAACGGAAGAAAAAATGGTGAGTTTTTTCTATCTACTTCTATCTTATTTACAATTTTTAATAGTTTGTTTTAACCTTTATTCAATGTTTAGTTTTTTAATATAAAATTTATATGTATAAACTCGACTGCACCGAGTGTATTAATACAATTCCATTTCAGGTATATTGACCCCGGTTCCCACTTATCCGTTTTACTCGGCATGTTACTCAATATTCGGCATCAATCTAGTAGGTTATTATTTGGATGAAGACTCAAACTGGGACACGAAAATTGAGGAACTGGAGCGAAGCCTTGTCGAGGCTCAAAATACTTGTAATGTGAGAGCACTTCTGGTCATCAATCCTGGAAATCCAACTGGACAGGTTCGTGTTTAAAATTTCTTTCATCAAGTTACATCTGACAGTTTGTTTTTGTAATGTTTTTATTTCTAATCACACCTCATAGGTTTTAAGTCGTAAGAACATCGAGGAAATTATCAAATTTGCATACAAGCATAATCTGTTTCTTATAGCCGATGAAGTCTCTCAAGATAACGTGTATAGCGGAGGCAATCGGTTCTATTCTTTCAGAAAGGTATGTTTTAAATTAGTATCGCTAATATTGAAATTTATATCAATAGTAGATTTAAAATATTTAAAATTGTTAGCCATAAAAGTGAGTCAGATCTTAAGACATGTAATAATTAAATTTATTCAAAACATGTATCTTCATTTTGAGTCATAAAAATTTCAAAATTATTTTCAACCAACGATAGGTGATGATAGAGTTGGGTGCGCCGTACTCGTCTGTGGAGCTGGTTTCCTTCACATCGGTGAGTAAAGGCTACATGGGTGAGAGTGGCTTACGAGGAGGCTGGCTAGAACTCAACAACATCCAACCAGACGTACAAGCACAGCTTTTTAAATACATTTCTGCTATGGGAACACCGAATGTCATTGGACAGGCTGTTATCGATTGCGTGGTTAGTGAATGAAAGTAATATATGTAGTATTTTATGTATTACCAAAATCTGTTTATCTAAAATGTCCATCGTTCAATATCTAGGTAAAACCGCCATCTCCAGGCGAGCCTTCTTACGACTTATGGCTGAGAGAAAAGACAGCTGTGCTTGAATCACTGAACGCGCGCGCTCGTTTGGTATCTGAAAGCCTTAATGCCATTGAAGGATACAAATGTAATGTAGTGCAGGTGACTAACTTGACTGATAAACTTTAAACTTTTTATGAGTTTATTTAATGTAAGATAGAGTTATTATTAGATTATTGTAACTCGTAATTAGTTTGACTTTCCTATTTAAGGTTTCAAGAAAAATATACTCGTATATTAATGGTTGAAAAACTCATACGGTTATAGAATAATAGATCTTACTGTAACAAAAATAGCATATAAATAAATTAGTTAAAATTTAAATATCATAATTGGTATGATGACCGAAATCTCTTTGGCTTGTAGCCAAGAGCTTGTATGTTATAATACAAAATAATAAATAATTAATTAAACAACGAAATTATCTGAAAAGAACACTAAAACTTTTTATATATGCGAATGTCTTATCAAATATAGATTATAGATATTTACTTAAAAAAGTAAACAGTAAGACTAATCCTGGCCTATTTGTCTTTTGTTTTCTCTTGTAAATGAAATGAAAAATATACAAAATTATTGTGTACATAATTGTCACGATTGCTATTTCTAAAATAGATTTACAAATAGAGGTTTATCATTATTCAGCAGCGGTTACTACAATTTGTTCTCAATCCTGTCCGTCTTACTTTAGTTAAATACATTACAGGGGGCTCTGTACGCCTTCCCTAGGATTAATCTCCCTCCAAAAGCGATAGCGGCTGCTGAAGCGGCTAACCAGCTCCCTGACGTATTCTACGCCTACAGGCTATTAGAAGAAACTGGTAATATAATGAATACTTATTATTAATAAGCTACAAATGTTTTAAGTGCAGCGTTTTGCAAGACTGAAGCGTTTTGAAGACAGGAGATAATAATATATATTTTTTAAGAAAATTCATTTAACAATAATAATTTTTCGAGTAGGTATCTGCGTTGTCCCTGGTTCGGGTTTTGGTCAAGCCCCGGGTACTTATCATTACCGAACGACCATTCTGCCGGAGTACGATCACCTTAAAACCATTCTGGACACCATCAGAAACTTCCATCAGCGGTTCATAGAGCAGTATACGTAGATTATAACACATAAAAGTTGATAGTACCCGAGAAACATCGTTGTTCTGTTTTTAATGTAATTAATGAAAGTCTTATGTTAAGTAATAAAAATAATCCTAATTATATTATTGTATTATTGATCCATTATAGTGAGTTAATTATACAATTCAAAACAATGTCATATATGTATGTAGTTAGTCACTGAATACTGGGGTATCCATTAATGTACAAATTACATTTTAAACTAACTCAGTTACAAAAAGATGTTTCTTTTAGTATTGTACTTTATAAGCAACACTATAGAAAATCGAGAGTGACGTCATAGGGTCGTGGTTAAATATTTAAATGGTTATTTAAACTATTATTTTGATTATCAAGTACGAGATAACAAATGGATAGTAATAGTTATATTGAAACATTAAAATTTGAATCGTTTGGTTGGTTTAAAGAATACTTTGCAGTAGAATCTTTACAAGTATCAATCGAAATGTTCTAGTAACATTTTTTCTCCTTAATCTAAAGCCAAAACAAATAGTTGACCCTTACATTAGAGGTTATCTTATATGTAATAAAAACAGTAATTAGAACAGTGTCAATTCGTATGTTTGATGACATTTATAATGTATATTGATTAGGAGACTATAAAAATTATTCTGAGAAAAGATAAGTCCCAGTAAAACGGAACTGGATTATTATCGGAGAATCGTATTCATATATAGATAAACTTCATCAGACTGATGCTTCAACAAGTAAAGAAAAATTGATATATATAAAATTTATATGCTCTTTCAACCGACTTCAAAAGGAGGTGGTTTTTCTATTTGATCTCATATCGTTCTGATATGTTTTTGTGAATAAAACCTTGAATTAGGAACCGATTTCATTGTTTTTTTATTGTTGGAAATGTAAGTAACCAGACTGTTGGCTAAGAAGCTGTCCTCCTCTCCAAAAGAAACTATTATAAGAAGAAATAACTTAAAACTCAATCGTCACGTTTTTAAAGACATACAAAAAATAAACTATTCTTAAACACACAATCTGGTTTATAAAGTATCGTTTGGAAACCGCAATCTCATATATATCACTATCCTTACCCTTTCTGAATTCAGAGCATGCTGAAGTACCGACCATTCCATATTAAGTATCGCTTTAAAATTCAAGTCACTTATTTCACGCCACTTGAAAATTTCAATTCAAATGAAATAATCGAATGCCAAGCGTCTGTTTTGATATTTTACAATTTGAAGTTGCTTCCATTCACAGCAGATAGCGAAAAACTATGTATTTGTACATACGTTCAGGAGCCTAGGATCGCTCGAGGTAGAGGAATTTAAATTCTCCATCGATCGTTGAGTTGAAACGAAGTCTAACCGTGACTTCAACTGGATAGTTGGAAACAATTTATTATCTCGTTGGAACTTGTAAGTCACTATTTCATACAATATGTTATAAATAAATTATTCATCAGTGATTGTCCAGTTAAGAGTTATTTTAATTAAGGTAGATATGAATATTCTATCTGCTAAATATATTTGTTTTGTAGGATATAACGAGCTTAATTAAATATGGAACATACTACATGAATTACAAAAACAAAAATAAATTGTCAATTTCATGCAAAAAAATTCAAATATGTGATCAAAACTAATAAGCTTTTTTAAAGCGTTGGCTAGCCGGCATGGATAAAACTATAATAATTGACCTTTATTAAATAACTAACAAAAATAACGTATTCCATATTAAAGAATTTAAATTGTTTAAACAAAAAGATTTTTTGTACTTAAAATTAAATGTAACGAAACAGCTCATTAATTCTACAACGTTCAAGACTATTTGATAATACGTAACACACATTACATACCCCTATCGATGTAGACCTTGACGCGCTTGTTGAGTTATCGCTCTCAATATTCTTCATATTACTATTGGGTCAAAGATGTAAATGAGGAGATATGTTTAAGAAAGTTTTATGAAAAAATAGTTTTTATCACTTATCTTCTGTTAAAGACATAAAGAAACTTCAGGTTTGAAGTTTGTGCAGGGAATATCTTTTTCAATCCTCAGTTTTAAACTAAACAACAACCAATGTTATAGTAAAGTAATTTATAACAATAATTGGATAGTATGACAAATGTGTGCAAACACCGTGCATCTGAAACTAGTACCAGTGTTGTTTTTAATTATTACTTAATTATTATCAAAGTTAAGTAAAAATCATACTGATATCGTTATAGCAGTGTATAACAAGAATATAATTTAGAGAAAACATTTATTAATTGATAAATAATATGACAAACATATATTTTTTAATTCATGCAGTGTTCATTTAATATTGAAGATGTTCATAGAAAACTGTTTAAATTATTATTAAAATGAATATTTAATATATAACTTTCGGAAATGAGTTTGCTAAAGACATCGAGACAGCAGTTCTTGAGTTTGATTTTAAATAACTGTCATAGAAGATTTCCAAAGATTAAATGTGGATTTAAAACTATATTTTTGTTACTTCAATATCATTGAATGTATCTCATTAAATTGTCATTTAAAACGAATATTGTATATTTGAACATTATTAATTGTGGTAAGATTATATTATAATTGTAAGTGTGTTTTATTATATTTTATTTATTATTTTGTCAATAACATAAATTGATAAAATAATCGAAACAGGACGAACGAAACTTTAAGTTATAACTCCTCTAACTGTTTTAAACTATTAAAAATGGTTCGAAATTTTATAGTAAATTATAATGAAATTAACAAAGAAGATAATATTTTCATTGGAAGCTTATTAAGTATGAGGAATTTGTACGGCTTAGTGAGTCACTGACAATGAATTCATTAAGTTATTTTTAAATTTTCCAATTATTTCGATAACGCAATAGATTCGGCTTAAAAACTGTTTTTTGCTATTTATGGCCATTAGTGAAACGAGTTTATTTCAGTGGAAAAATATTATTATGAAGTTAAATATTGTTTTCCTCCATATGAAATATTGCGAATTCAGTAATTTGAGAATTAAAACGTGTTTTTTTTGGTAGTCAGTCAGTTGATCACTCTGCTAAACTCCGCTGACCTTTCACTATAAGAATTACTTTTCCTAAGTTATCGAGTTGTAAAAAAACTAACATGAAGATGTAAATTCAATCAAAATTAGTATTTCATCGAATGTGAAACAGCAAATGTACATTGTAACGGTTCAAAAATGAAAACTTTCATATTTTCAAGTTTTAATATGATACCAGATCGCTTAAATTTCACTTTTGGTCCTATCATACTACTTATTACAAAAAAGTAATATATGTATTAACTTCATATTATCAAATTTTGATTTTTAAACTATGAAAATTTCTTCTACATACACAAATTTTAAATACCTAGTAAATAGCATTTTAACTAAATTATTTTACGTAATCTCTATTCCATTAAAAGTGTATGAGTTGAAAATTCATAAAGAGAATAGGGCCCACGCCACTCCCGAGTAATTTCATTGACACCCGATACATCAGCGATGTGATTCAATAAGCAGCAGCGTTAGAAAGGATAGCGACCAATCGAAATAAATAACGCATAAGTACAAGTTTAATATTGACATTTCTAAAGCTCCTTTGTTCTTTTTATTAAATTCCTTTGTTTTGGTATAAAAACCCATCAGCATTACATGAAGTGTTAAGACAATATTGGAGCTTCGTCTACACAAAAATTCTTTTTATAATTTGTGTGCGTGTTTTTTAATATAACCTATAACCTTTTCTTTATCCAAATAACCTTTAGTAAAAATATAATTCTCATTTGCCATACTTACGTACTCTGTATTGTAAATCCGTTCGGGAGCTTAGTCTTCGTTTCATTTCTTAATTCCCAAGGCAACTTTATGGTTCCACTTCAATCAGATTTAAGTACTTATAAAAGACAATATCATAAATTTTTCATCAGTGTATTGTCTTTTAGGGACGGTAGTTTCTCGTTTTGATTCCTCCCTCGATTTAATAAATGAATTATTTGTGTAATTCGCGTTAAAGTTTCGACACTTTCGTATGTGAACCTCGATTGTTTTTTGTCTTTTACATAATTTAATAATAAACTGAAATTAACAGTAAATGTTTTTTCTTTCTCCCACGCAATGGCTTACTTCTGTGCCATGAATGATTCCTTGCCCTACTCACTAGTCAGCATTAACGGGACTAAGTCTCACTAAAATAAAGCTCTTTCTATGTCTGTATGTTTGGATAATCCTGTCGGTCAGTGATCCAGCTCTTGCTGAACAGAATCATAAGCGAAGTGTCGATTTCTTTCCTTCACTTCGATTCAGGCCAACATACTAAAAGTAACGATGATCTGAACCATAGCCTTATTTGCGCTGACAGTAAAAACCATAGAAATGTAATACTTCAATTTTGTGAGGCGTTATACACAGATTTTTCTTTCATAATAAGACAAGCCAAACGCGGCAAGCAAAAAAATTTCTTTAACCGGGACTGCTACCTAAAACCAGCGTGTTGTCTCATATCACATAACGCCAAATGTTAGTCTGGTGCTTTGCAGAGCAAGATAAACCAAAAGAATCCATTTCGAAGTGAACCTTGTGAAGTTTGGACTTCTACTTTCTACGTCAGGTATAGTGTAATAGTCGTTATAAGGATTTCCTAGTCATTTAAGATAGATAGATAGATAGAGTCCTTGACAAGAGTTGTCTGGCGTGGCACAAACATCTTTATAACCGATTACTTCCCTTTCTGGAGTCTTTTAAACTCTTCGACAAAAACTCCTGATTTGCCAATAAGGTAAGGACACGAAGTCTTAATAACACCTCATCCCGCCTCTTCACACTTCTCACACCTCATAATATTTGGAGGGTAAAGCCAATTTTCAGTTTATTCAATCAGAAATACTATATAAAAATATTGTATTCTGAAATTAGATTGTAACAGATTTTATACAGTAGAATATCTGTCTTAAAATTATTTGTATATACTGAGATTTCGAACACAGCAGACTTACGTAATGCGATGCTTTA